ACTCTACAAAAATAATACCAGTAAAAACACTTATTGAAATGGGAACAGCTGGTTTAAATGGGAAACAATGCCTTTAAAACAGCCACAGGCCCCTAACCTCCCAGGTGTATCACCACCCGAGTGCCTGGGCTGCATGGTGCGAAGTGTGCTGGAATTGACTCTCGGCGTCTGCACTGTTTGATCACTCTGTCCTTTATGTCATCCTTCCCATTGTTCTTCTTATTATGTTGTCGCCAGGGCGGCCAGAGCTTGTGTGCGAGGCGGGAAAACAGGTTTGGCGAGGTGCTGAGGTACAATCTGGCTACCCTGCCAGCCTGTCTGATGTCCTTTGTCACTTTTGGGGGTACAGCCAGTTCAGAACAAGACATTCTCTTATGAGAGTTTAAATTGGTTTTTGATGGCCAATTATTCAAGAAAGAATTCCTGAAGGCAAAAGCTACTTAACATAGATTTTTATACTGGGAATACTGGAAAAAAATCATGTTTACATGGAAGAAGAAAAATGAAGCAAGTGACGAGTTATACGTATCCCCCTTGCATTCTATGCCACCTCCCTTATATGAAAGACCTACCTTAGTATCTGTTTTTGCTAACGGAAAGAAAGCTGAAGTGGATTTTCCCTTTTAGGAAAAAATGCAAAAAGCGGAAACAGTGTTTAGCGATAGTTTTGCAGCAGCTGATGTAGAGGCCGCGGCTCCCTGAGCTCCCTCTCCGGGAACCACACTCGGCACCTGGGGATCAGGGCCCCAAGCAGGGAGCTGCATGAGCACCTGGGCGTTACCTCCATGGATCCTGTGCCCCGGCAGCAAGGTGCGCCCAAGGTACCCACTGCTCCATTTTATGCCATTGCTGCTTACAGAGGAGTTCGCAGGAGCACTCTCCTTTCAGATAGCGAGAGAAGCCTGTGTTTTTTCAAAGCATGTGCAACTTGGTGCTTTTAGGGATACCCCCTACCCCCCAATAGTAGAAAGCTCTGTCTGTGAGAGCGTGTGGCCTACAAGCTGTTCTCTGGCCATGTTCAGTACATCCAGCTGCTCAGCCAGAAAGGCCAGCGTCACCCCATGCCTTGTCCCTCTCCAGGTCCTGTCCCTGCTGTCTCCTAACTACCCCTCGGAGTCTGCTTCTCTCCATCTTCAATAATCCAAGCTGCGTATCTCCCCTGGACCCGTACAAACAGCCTCCTAACTGGTCTACCTGAAGCCTTCGGGGCAGCTCCGCTCTGTCCCCTAACCCAAGTTGTGCTCCCACCGCAGCCATTTCTTTTTGAAATAGAAACATGATCATATCCCATTGTACTCAGGCTCACCAGTGACTTTCCGTATACTGTCAGGAAGATTGTTATGTTGGTCAGCTTGGGCTGCTGTAAGACAGCACCATAGATGGGGGGCTTCAATAACAGACATGTATTCCTCACAGCTCTGGAGGCTGAGAAAGCCAAGTGCCAGGTGCCGACTAGCTCAGTGTCTGGCGAGCCGCTCCTCCTGGTTTACAGACAGCCACCTTCTCCGTTTGCTTACGTGGCCTGTCCGTGGCGTGTGCTCCAGGCCAGGGGGCAGGAGGAGCTGTCGTCCTCTTCTTAGAAGGGCGCTGATCGCGTCACGAGAGCCCCCCCTCACAACCTCATCTGACCCTCATGACCTCCCAAAGCCCCACCTCCAGATACCATCACATTGGGGGTTAAGGCTTCGATGTACGAACTTGGGGGGACACCAGCTTCCAGTCCATATCACACATAAACTGTGACGTGGCCTGTAGAGCTCTGCGTTCTCCAAGGGATGAGACTCAGAAATAGATGAGCAGAGGACACAAGTAACACAGCACGCGGCAGCGAGTGGTGAGAGCATGTGAATGGCCCGAAATGATGCAGGCTGAGGTTTTCTGTGGTTACCTTGGGTTGTGTAGTGGTCTTCAAAGTATGGTCACCAGCCTCACCTGGGAGCTCGTCAGAAATGCAAATTCTCAGGCCCCACCCCAGATGCCCACTCAATCAGAAACTCTGCAGCCTGTGTTTTCACAAGCCCTCTGGGTGATTTCGATGGGTGCTAACATTTGAGAATATTGCTGCTGTGAATGCAAAGCGGAGTGATGGAGTTTCGCTGAAAAGAGACTGGGGGGGGGCATTAATGTGCCCCCTCGACAGGATTCAGACTTGTTCGTAAAGGTAACGTCAGGTTCATCACACTAACATTTACTAGTTTATCCCCTGAACAACACCCATTATTGCTGGAGAGACACTGGTAAGTGAAAACAGACCTGGTCCTTGTCCTCAAGGGGCTCACAGCCATAGAGGAGCCAGGAGTAAGTACATCAGTCACACAATGCCCAGTTTACACTCACACACTGAATTAGAGGGTTTCAAGGATCTGTGAAGTTAAGATGCTGTCACTAATTTTTTTTTTTCCATTTTGGCCTATCCATGCTTTGAGAATGGTTTTGGTCCCAATTTTTCCAGAATGCAGCATAGTAGGTGCTCAGAAACATTTGCTGAATGATTCATGAGTTCAGGGACCCGACTGCACACCACCTGGCACATGCTAGACACTTGACAGATGTTTGTGAGTGAATGAATGAATGAAATGAATAAATGAATGTGTGAATAACAAAATTGTTTAGGTGGTTCAACTGGAACTCCCTCCCAACTGCTGGCCTTTGCAGAGAAAAGTAAGGACCAGGTGTCCTATTGTCCATAAAGCTATGCTGAGAGATTTTAAGTGACTCTGGGCCCCCCTCCGTGTGTTAAAATGCTTCTTCTTTCTGAAAGGATGGTGATAGTAAATATTAGTTCATTGTAAAATACTCTTACTGGGAAAAAAATGTCAACATATTATAGCTAAAATTCTTTAAAACTGGTGTAAATTTGGGAGCAATTTCTGCGGGAGACATTGGGATAGTGGGAGCCTGGAGGGCTAGTCATGAGCTGTCTCTGATGTCTGCCCAGGAAGAGCTGAGCTTGTAACAATGAGTCTGCGACCAGCTGGGTGGGAGGAGGCGGGTCGGTTACTCAGTTACGGGGAGGAAACGGGGAAGGGGTGATTTTTAGGCGTTGGGAAAGACGAGACACAGATGGACAAGAGAGCGAACACTCCAAAATAAACAGGAGAGACAAGCCCGCTTTTTTAAAGCCCTTGAGAGACCTGGGAGCTCTAGTTGAGGGGATTTAATTGTGTTCAAATACGGTGAAACAGGTTTAGATTTGTTTGGCGGCACTGTTTTGTGTCTGCCTACTGTGCCCCAGCGCTTCGAGGTGGTGGTGGCCGATGAGGGAGAGAAGACAGAGGTGGGCAAAGGGTGGAGGGAGGTGGAGCGTGAGCGTGGGCTGGTCAGGCCGTGCACAGGTGGGGCTGCACTTGCAATCAGGGAGCACTGAACATGTCTGGGCTGGAGGACTGACAACAGGTAGCCAAGGGGTATGCGGCAGGGAGGGTTAGACGGTCGTCAGCCAAGTAATTGGTGTTGTCTCTGTTCAGCTGTGGGGATGTGGCCGTGACCACAAAGCTGGGCAGGTGGCTGGAGGAAACTGAGTGACAAGGGGACAGTAGGCTGATGGCAGCGATGGGTAGCTGACTAGCAGCAAACAGAAACAGAAGGAGGGAGCGAAGAAGTGAGGGAGGGAGGGAGGGAAGGGAGAGGACACAGGGAACAGAATATTTTGCTGGCTCTCTTGCTACTGTAGCTGCCTGACAAGGAAAACACAAACAAGCAGCGTAGCGGATGGAGGGTAAGAAGCCCCAGCGAGTCCCAGGAAAGACGTCAGGACGGAGGAAATCCGGGGTTCTGCAAAGAAGGCAAGGGAAGAACAGTGTAAAGTAAAATCTCTCTCTCTCTCTCTCTCTCTCTCTCTCTCTCTCTCACACACACACACACACACACACACACACACACACACACACACACACACAGCCTTCTAATGCCCTCTGAAGGCAAAATGAAGCAACCTGCTTTCTTAAGCTTCTTCCAGAAGGGAAGGCCATTGCCAAGGCTACCGCTGAGAGCGAGCTTGTCTTTTCCAGGCGGACCTCAGAAAAATAAAGAAGAGATGAGGTGCGGAGGTAGGCGGGGGCCTTCCGGTCAGTTGAGAAGCTTGGGCTCCATCCTGGGAGTGATGAGACGTCACACGGGCTTAGAGGTAGAGGATGCGCTGTGGGGAAGGTGAGGCCGGAGGCAGGGAGGCCGCTGCTGGGGAGAAATGGCGGAAGCATGGCACAGAACGCCAACGGGGTGAAGAAAACAGAGCAGGTTTGAGGTGTAGGCCGGGAACTCACAGGCTTGGTGACTGACAAGCTGTGGGGAGGAGGAGGAAAACACAGTAACCTGTAGCTTTGGGCAATGAGGCAAATAGTAATGCTATTAAGAGAATAACAATACACACGAAATAGCAAGGGTGTTTATCATCCCAGGGGAATCCCAAATAGCCCTGAAGTAACGGGGACCTCCCGGATGGTATTCAAGCCTGCTCAGAACAACTCGGCTGTCCTCACCTGATCAGAGACAGGTGTCCTTTTACTTCAGTGATTGACAGGCCTCCTTTGGGAGCTTGCTCTTTACCACCTAGAAAGACCTCCCACAGGATTCAATCTGAATGGATCTTAAACCAAAGGCAGCTTCTCTGATATGCTGTGTGCTCTGTGCCGTGTAGCACAGTGAAAACCCAGAAATATGCAGTAACGATAACCAAATTCATGTCGTACTTTGCAGCCTAATCCGTTCCTTACCTTATACCAGGGTTGTCCTTTCCATCCCCATAAGCATCGAGGCCAGGACAGCTCGTGGGGGAGCCCAGGCAGTGTGGACAAACACTTAACAGTTACATGTCCAGTTACCTTCCTACTTGGACAAGAATATCTTCGTAGCCACAGGAATGGAAAACACGTCTAAAGGCCGGCTTTTCATGTGACTGAAAGTTGGTGAAATATGAAATATGACTGTTTAGTGATCCTTGCTCGTGCTTGGGCGTTCAGCTGAGCTGGCGGTGTTTGGATGGATAAGAAAATAACAACCCATCTGATTCATAAAAGATTACACATTTATTTCAGAAAGCCTCTTTCTTATCGTAATCACAAATTGTGCTGTTACAAACAACATTTCACAGAGTTGATGCTCTATTAACAGCGATTCCATCCATGAGAGACCATCTTGAGTCAGTGTAGCTCTTTGAAGGTTTTTTTTTAAATTAATTTCAATTTGAGGAAGCTTTACTCTGCTGAGAGAGTTGAAAATAAATCATGAAATTTACTTATCATGTTCAAACATTATGAGATTACATTTAATGAATTATTATTGCAGAAAGATTTTGATTTCATCACATAAACTACCATCACGTATATTGTCATTTTAACGATCTCTTAAATGTAATGTCACGAGAAGAACCAAGTAATGTGAATAATGTGAGGAGCCGATATCAAACTTCTACATCCAAATTTAAAAGGAATACGAATTGTTTAGATTCATGGTAAAATATTCGTGTCTCCATGTGAACTGTAGCAAATACTGTGCTATTTGTGAGACCCTGGACACAAACTCAAACAGAAAGAGAAGTAAGAAAAGTGACACTTATTGCTATAAGGAAACTACTTATTCAAGAATTGTATTTACGAGGGAAAAAAAATTTCTCTTGCAGTATCTCAACCACAATTCTCATTTATGTCATTGTTTTTTTAGTTTGTAATGTGCTTGGCTTAAAATGGCTTTGATAATGTACATTATTTCAGGGGTTCTAAAGAGGAACAAACACAGGGTGCCAAAAAAATGGATACACATTTTAAGAAAGGAAAAAACTGTATTAAAATTGTATACTGACAACAAAAGGTGAATACAAGTCATGTATACACATTTTTTGACATCCCCGGTATTTTCTTTTGATGTGATAACCAAACAATGAAGCCTGGGATACAAACAGAAAAAAAAAAAGGAATTGCATTTATGTTCTGAGAGAAAGGGTCTGACACATTACTTACTTTGTGTTCTTATTAAACCAAGCGCTTCTGTGACTCAGAATCTTGCTACGCTCCAAAGCGGTGTTCGCCTCTGACGGTGGTAATGCCGTCACAGCTTTAGGTGCAGCCCTGTTTTGTTTTGAGGACATAGAGCTCGCAACAGCATTGCCCTTGGACCTGCAGGGTGCCATTCTGGACAGCACTGTTCAGAGGTCACCAGCTTCCCAGGCAGCCCTGTTTTCCTTCCTTTTCTTACAAGAGCTTTATAGAGCTATTAAGTCACAGAACATAACACTCACCCCTTGAAAGTGGTTTTTACTGTATTCACCCTAAAAAGAAGCCCTGTACCCATTAGCTGTCACTTCCTATAATCCGCTCCCTCCAGCCTCTAGCAGCCACTAATTTACTTTATGTCTCTATCGAATTGCTTTTTCTGGACATTTCACGTAAATAGAATCACACAATACGTGGCCTTCTGTGTCTGGCTTCTTTCACTCAGTATCGTATTTTCAAGGTTCGCCCATGTGGGAGCGTGTGTCGGGGCTGCATTCCTCTTTGTGGCTGAATAATCTTCCCCAGTGTGGATACTAACTTTCTGTTGATTCACTCATCAGTCAGCGGTGACGTGTGGGGTGTGTACTGCTTGCTTATTATGAATAATGCCACTATGAGCACTTGTGCACCTGTTTACATTTCTCTTGGGTCAATACCTGGGAATGGAGTTACTGGGACATGTGCTTCCTCTATAAGTAATGTTTTAAGGAATTAACCAAATGGCTTTACGAAGTAGTTCTGTAATTTTACAATCCCACTGGCCATATATGAAGGTTCCAGTTTCTCCCCATCCTTGTCAACATGTGTGATCGCCTGGGTTTTTGATTCTCGCTCTCCTGGAGCTGAGTCCCTGTTCTAAACCCTTTCCAAGTATTAACTCACTCCATCCTCCCGACATTGCTATGTCCAGAAAAGGGAATTCAGGTTCAGGGAGGATCAGTGCTAACACGCCGGAGAGTGGCAGAGCTCTAATTGGCAACGTAAATAAAACACTATTTACATAAATACATAAATAAAAATTTGAACACTCAAGGGAATGAAAACAATTTGGAGAGAGTCCCTGTCCCTGCCTCCATTTTTGACAAGACCTTCCTGAGTTTACGACAAAATCCTGTTTTATGCAGGCTGGTCCCCTGCTAACATCTTCAATTGACTCCTGCCTTATGCCTCAGAGTTAGCTGGTATTGGGACTTAATATTGAGAAAAAGAGGGAGAATGAAGTTGTCTCTGAATATTCATTTCAATTAAGGCAAAATTTTCCATTTAACCAAGAACGAAATCTACCAGCCACTTATATTTTGTGACTACTAATTTGAAATTAAAAAAATTCACTTTTACAAAGAAGATTTGAAAAGCTCTGTTCTGCAAGTATGATTGATCTTTATTCTTCTCAGGCCAAAATGGTTTCCGAAGTACACATTTCCACATTCTTAATGAAGTCTGTGAAATTGACTTCAAAGCCAATTTTTAGGAATGTCTTAATTCCATGAAGATACATGCCATCTTTTAAAATTCTAATTTTACACCAATTTATAATTGTAAAAAACTATATATTTTTTTATATAAGGATAATAATTAAGCATATCTTTTGATGTTCACTCTCAAAAGTAGAAGTGTCAAGAGTCTTAAGAACATGGCAGTAAAATGTAAGACTTGGAATTAAGCGTCTTCGACTTGTACCCCAGGAATCTGATTTCCAGGTCTCTGTGCTATTTAAGAAGAATCTTGTGCGTGAAGACAAACTTCCAAGGGTCTCTCTTCAGTAGTTCTGCCTCTGTCTCAGGCACCAAGATGGCAGAGGCTGCCCGTGGCCAGGCCTCAGATCTGGAGATCGTCATGTCTGTCATTCACAGATGGTGACATAAAATCTGAAGGAGGTGGGGGAGGCGACCTCCGGGATCAGTGAGCCCGTCGTTTCCCTCTGACAATTTCCTTCGTGCTGTAGCTCGGTTATTAGGAGAGCTTGTGAGGAGGACTAAGGCCATTTTCAATGAGGGGTACCAGCTGCCTCACCACTTTGGAGAAGTCCAAGTTCCAAAGGAAGGTGCACAGGGAGAAATGTTTAGTTTGGAGGAAAAATTGGTTCTGTTTAAGGCATTACTCATTCGTTGTTTGGGGCGTTTTATGAGCACTTTATATCTCCTAGTCACACGGAACCATGCTTGATAATGTTATATAAACAAGCAAACTCTCACATACTTATTATTTAACAACTTTATTGAGCTATAATTTGCATGCCATGTTTCACTCATTTAACGTGTACAGCCATCTTACTTGCCATAGCGGACAGGGTAGAGTGTTCTATAGCATATGGGGCCCGATGATATAACTTTGAAAGTACAGGGCCTGCTGGTGGTAGGGTTAAAATGTACTAATGAAAATATTAATTTTTTAGATAATACTACAGTATAGGGCCCAAGTAATTATTTTAGGTTTCAAAATGTGTAATCAACCTCCACAAGTAACTTGTTTTGGCAACATCCTTGCTTATCAAAGAGAGTTCGAGATGTTTGCCCCTCCAGGAGTTTCACCGTAAAACTCCCATTCCCTTTGGCGGTGTTGACAGGTTTATTTTCATGTTACAAATACATGAAGAAACGAGACTGAAGTTTTGGAGCCTAACATCACAAGCTTTGGAGTACAGCCAAGTGCATGGTGAAAATTTTACAATGTGTTTCCTTTTCTGACTTTTGGTTACATACCCGGAAGTCACTGTCCTGGTCAGTTTTTTACTGTTCCTGGTAGTTATTAGGGTGTCAGCAGGTGATAATCAATTCATGCCCGTTTTCTTGACTCGTGTTTAGAAACAAATGAGAACTAAGATGCGTCAGACAGACAGAAATGATCAGTTTTATTACTGATAAACTGACTGGAAAGCAGGGCTTGCGTGTGCAGCCGCCAGGTTCCCGTGGGTCATGATGAAAAGGTTGGATGCTAGCGCTGGAAAACTCAGAATTTCAGGGGCCCAAAGGAGGGCGAGACTATTTCTCACCTAGAAGTCCAGAGGTGGTGTAGATTGTTGCCCGGTTCCCGGCACCGAGCCTCCCACCAATTTTGTTGATTTGTTTTGTGTGCTTTCCTTTGCCAAGTTCGTCTTGGGGTCTAGAGTGGGTGCTCCAGCTCCGGCCATTGTGCATACATTCCAGCCGACAGGAACAAGGAGTGGTTAAGGGCAGGATGTCTCCATTTAAGGACACACCGTTTCTGCTTATATCTCATTAGAGAGAACACGGTCAGCCACATCTAACTAGGAAGTTTTTAGCTGGGCAGCCACGTACCATTCTAAAAGCTGAGAATTCCGTTACAGGAGGGGAGACGACCTATGGTGCCTGCCACATTTCTGGGTTAAACTCCCAGCCAGGCAGAGGCAGAGGCCGAGCTAGGTGACCACTGGCCTCTCCTATCGCACGGGGCCCGCTGCTCACCCAGGGCGGAGACGCCCCTCCAGGGGAACCCAGAAAGCGCCGAGCCAAACGCGCTGGCTTCCTTCTCACTGTCCTCCTGAGGCAGGTGAGTCCCTCCTACACGTCTCCTTCCTGGCCGACGCCCGGCTTTTCGGAGGGGCGGTACAGAGAACTGTCATAAGGCAGGAAGGCGGCGCACGACTGGGCACCACAGTAACAAGGTTTCCGTGGCTTCGCGTCATCGGGCTGTTCCTGGTCTTCACTGTCCATTCGGTTAAGGAATCTTCCTGAATAGTCATAAGAGAGTTCTTCTCCGGGCAAAATGTCTCTGGCTGCAAAGAGCGCCAGCCTGGGGACCATGGAGTCGGCTCGGACAGGAACCATCAGCAGGTTGGGCGCACAGGAATGGTTCAGGAATCTCCCGACGTTTCCCACCCGCGCGGGGTCCACAAACGTCTCTAAGACCCGCGCGTCCCGAACGTGCTCCCTCACGGCTATGATGTAGTTCGGATCGCGGACCGTCTGTGCCTGGATTCTTCTCCGGGCTTCAGCGGCTCCTAAGACCTCGCCAGCGTATTCGCAGACGAAGTGTCCTTTCGGGACGCGCTCCAAGGCGCGCAGGCCCCAGCCCTTCTTCTCGGTCCGGAACACCTGCAGCCGGAGCTGCAGGCCCCGCTGGACCACCCTGTTCCCGCACAGGTCCCCGCAGCGGCACAGGGCGTTGCATTCGAACACCGGCGGGGCGCGCCGCGCCGCTGAGGCCGTCAGCACGAGCCGGAGGCGCGAGCCCTCGTCGTAGCTGTCCCCACGCCGCAGGCAGGCGCAGGTGCCCGGGCGGCAGCGGGCGCGGCGGCAGCTGCATCCGGGCAGGGTGATCAGCGCGGGGTCCGTGTCCGCCCCGGGCCCAGCCACGTGGTCGGGCGTGTACTGCAGGGAACAAGGACGCGAGTCAGGCTGGCTGGCCGCATAGTTCATACAGGTTTCCAGCAGCGTTTGGCCGGATACTTGTTATTCCAACATACGAGTATATAAAAATAAGACAAAACGCAACCAATTAAAATATTGTCTGAAAACATACCTAACTAAAAAAAAAAAAAAGGGGGGTTCATTTTAAGATTTAAAATTCTGTGATTTCATTTTAGGTATAGGAATAACAATATAGGAAATACATATATAACTCCCCCCCGCCCATCAGAAATGGAAAGCTTTGTAACCCATTTTGTTCCCCTTTTAGCTCTGGATGTCAGGAAAATCAGTGCTGAGTTTAGTTTTTGAATGCTGTTAAGTGTTTTATCCTTGGCTTTTGACCGTTTTACATTTATCTGATAATACAAATACATATATGTATTATTTATTGTGAGTCACCTCAGATCCTTTTTGGCGACAAGAAACTCATAAATGATAGATAAATCAATGAAAACTGGCCTTTGGGAGAGAGTCTTCCACTTATTTTTTTGCAAGAATTTTAATTTGAAGATTCTTTAAATTCTTAAATATTGTTTTAAAAAGACGCTATTGCTGTATAGTTCTATTTGAATCTTTACAGTGTTAAAAACACGCATTTGGCTAAGAAATTTCACAGGGAATTCTAAAAATCATATTTGTTATAGATATTAGCAGATATTTAAATTTCTTGTACTTGCATGCATGTAGATGTCTTACTTAATGAGAAAGGGATAATGTGAAAAGTTTCTCAAAATTTTATATTTAAAAATGTTACAGAAAAAGAAGGAAGTCCTAAGTCTCGAGCCTCTGTGTGAAGGCTGCATCTGCCTATTTCCTCACTGGCATGAAGCAGCGTATTTTCACACCCTGAAGATTAAGCATATTTCTTTATGGATAGAATAACTCTTGCTTGCACGGAACATAACTCATGCATTTATAGCCGCTTTTAGTGTGCTTAGACCCAATTTCAATGGGGGTGGGGGAGGGAGGTTTCCCCACCCCTCCAACAAGCAGTGCTGCTTGTCCTACAATTCAACTCAATTCTGACACTCTCTACCAGATGACACCACATTCCACAGGTTAAGGGCTCAGTCCTACAAGACTGCCCACCCCCCATTTTAGGTGCCAGTTGAAAGTCTAGGTTGTTACCTGGGCTTCTGACAGACTGGCTGTACATCAGAGGTTCCCAAGAGCCCCTCCTTGGGCTTTGATTAATTTGCTCGAGTGGCTCACAGAACTCAGAAACGTTTTACTCACTAGATTACCCGTTTATCATAAAGGTTATAACTCAGGAACAGCCAGATGGAAGCGATGCACAGGGCAAGGGGTGCAGAAAGGCACGGAGCTTCCACGCCCTCTCCAAGGCCGTGGGTCTCCCAGCACCTCCATGAGTTCACCAGTCTGGAGGCTCTCCGAACCCCGTCCTCTTGGGTTTTTGTGGAGGCTCCACTGCATAGTCAGGATTGACTGAAGCACTGGCCATTGGTGACTGATTCAACCTCTATCCCCTCTCCCCTCCCTGGAGGTTGGGGGGTGGGATTGGAGTCGGGTGTGGGGGTGGGGAGGAATGAAAGTTCCAACTCTCTGGTCACATAGTTGCCTCTGGCAGCCAGTCCCCATACTCAGGCACTTAACAAAAGTCACCTTCATGGCTCTCATCAAACTTAGGAAATTGTGAGAGTTTTAGGAGCTCTGTCCAGAAACGAGGACAAAGACCAAATATATTTTTCTTATTATATATCATAATATCATACCTGCTTAGTTCCAAAAAGGGTTTAATAAGGCCTACAAAGAGGTAAGATAAATGAACAGTAGGTACGTGAGGCGAAGGCTACAGTAAGCGCGAGCTCAGACACACACAGCATGGAGGAGCCTGGATACCTGTGGGCCTGAGAGTAGCCGCTTCAAACGGGGAGATATGGGCAGATGAACGGCTTGCACTGTCCATGAGGAACAGCCTCCCTGCTCAGAAGCAGCACTGACTTTCCCCAATGTGGAAACGGGAGAGGAATGTCACCAATGTGTCCGTCTAAACCGTTCTTTTCCAGGAAGCAGTTTCATGGCTGTTTCTCACTCTGACCAGCTGCACAGCCTGTAATTCAGGGATGGACCTGAGTATCTAGAGGAATGTTCGAACCTGGTAGTGTCCCTGCCCCCCCCCCCCCCCCCCCCCCCCGCCTGTAGTTTTGCTTTAATGGAAAATTCCAGAAAGAAAACTGGTAAGTTTTAAGTTGCATGCCTTTCTGAGTAGTGTGATGAAATCTCGCACCATCCAGCTCCGTCCCACCTGGGACGTGAATCATCCCTTTGTCTAGTGTGTTCCTGCTCTTTACCTCTTAGCCTTCTCCATTATCAGATATTTTTGTGTGTTTGTGTGTGTGGTGGTGGGGGGTAGGGTGAGACCACATTCACATAACCACGTAACTTCCATTACAGTATACTGTTATAATTGTTGTATTTTTCTTATTGTTGTTAATCTCTTACTGTGCCTAATTTATTCATTAAACTTTATCATAGGTGTGTATGTATAGGAAAAAACACAGAACATATATACAAGGCTCGGTAATATCTGTGGTTTCAGCCATCCACCAGGGGTGTCTGAATGTATCCCCCAAGGATAAATTGGGGGTCTGCTGTATCTTTCCGTCAATCCTCCATTAATATTGTATCTCTGGGCCAAGCTTGGAAAAGGTATTGAACATCATAAGGGGCTCAGTGGAGCTATGCAATTAGTTACAAAACGCTACACTTTAAAAAACGCAGAGCTGGTGGGAAGGAGTGACATGTTCGGAGAGATGGGGATGAGTGGGAGCCCCTGCAGGGAGGCCTACGCTCCGCTTAAAATGTGACTCGGGGGTGGGGAGCGGAACTCGCTTCTCTTGTCTGTGTCACTTCTTACAGCTTTAGCTTGGCAGAGATGTCCTAAAGGGATAAAGGATGACTTAGAAAAAGATGCCCCATCAGTCACATTAAATGACTGCTGTCGTACCCAGAATCTACTTCCAGCTTTTGAGTCAACGTGGAGATGTAAGTGGTTACCTAGACATTTTCAGAAGTACTTGTAAAATGAAGATTTTTCTATCTCTTAGTTAAGTTTTCATGAATAATTCTTTTAAAATGATTTGTTCTTAAAGGAGCACATATTTTTAATGTATTATATAAATCGCTAAACTCTCACGTGAGTCTTTTGGACACAGATAACTCCTTTTAAAATCAAGCCTGATTTACTGCAGCTGTCTAACCAGGAGAGCACATTATTCCTTGCTGAACTTATTTGCATATGGACAGGCTTTTGCTTATTTTTACTTATAGATTTAAAAAAGATTTTGGAGAATCTAGTGATACTTTTTTTTTTTAATTCTGCAATTGAAACTTGATGCACAATCTAAGATCTTTAGAGACTCAGATTACAAATGGTAGCTTATTACAAATGAACTGCAGACATCTTCCCAAGGATGACAGAGGCTTGTGGATCAACTTCCCCTTTAAAGAGAGGATGTTTTCCCCCGATGCATGTAATCATTGACCCTGAAAACAGTAATCATCACGAGTCATTTTATCTCCCATGTTTCCAGTTTCTCCTCCAAAGAAGGTCAGTAAAATACCATTCCAGAAAGGTATTTTACCTAACTTAGAATGGGTATTCTAAAGTATAGTAAAACCTTGGATTGCGAGTAACGTGGTTTGCGAGTGTTCTGCAAGACGAACAAACATTTCTGATGTATTCTAACGTGGCAAATGAGTGATGTCTTGCAATATGAGTAGTTTGTTTCTGGAAAGAATTATGCTCGCAAACCAAGTGTATACTCTTTTTAAAACTGTGGACTAGTTTAACATGATTATGTCATTATTCATCTTTTTAGGCATCTAACTATATATTGAAGTTATTTATTTTTTTCAGAAATAGTCTGATGTCATTGACCTGTCATTCTATTCAAATATTTATATGCCATGTGAACTGTCCAATTTTGAGTATCTGAAAACTAATGTTAAATGTGTTATAAATTTGGAGTCATCTGACAGGAGCTTAAATACTTTCGCTTTGTAACACTCTTTCCATAGTCTGTGTCTTATTTCCTGGTACAAAGCCCAGGGCCAAACTGAACCAAAAGGGCGGTACCCTGAAGGTTTCTGTGCTTACGCTAAGCCAAGGAGAGCGCAAAGCTTGGGGGATGCGCCCACAGAAGCCATGTTTGCACCTATCCGGCACCCACTCCTGTTCTTCTGATAACAGCACCCGACTCCTGCCAAGGAACCTTTCTTGTCTCAGTGGTTTGGATGGGGGTCTGGGTTGGGCCGGGACCTAGACCTGGCGAGTCAGAGCATCACTCATGCTTTTCAAGTGTTTGGTTCACAGATGGGCACAGGACCTCAGGCAGACGAATGAAATACAGTTTTGAGACTTCTGCTGAAACAATTAGGGGAGACACTCTTTTCCCACTGGGGTCAGTAAAGTGTTCACCCGGCATGCCCCGGCTCTACCACACACACAAGACGCGTGGAGCCAGCCCCAGGAAACGGAAGCAGGGGTGCGAAGGGAGGTGGCAGGAAGTTCAGATGGCGCTGCCAGGGGCCTTGGGCCCAGATATGCCCCCAGTTCCCACTCCTGAACTCTGCTGTCATGGGAGGCAACTCCTTTCCTTCTTTGCTTAAGTTTGTGTTGTGTTTGTGTTTCTTGCAAAGAAATGAGTCTTGATTAATCTACACAGGTGGAAGCTGAGAATGGTTCCAGGAAATGGCTGGACAATTCAGTGAAAGACAGAAATGGCTAACCAGCAATGAGGTCTTCAATTGGGAGGTGAGACTAGAGCGGTGTGCGGCGGCCACCCAGGAAACGGCGGCATGGCCTGGAACCCTGGGCCAGCCGCGGAGACCCCGTCAATGAGAACACGGGATCTCTGAAAGGAGACACGTACAGAGCCAGGCTCTTTCTAGCACTGCGACTTACGGCAAGTGACTTGCTAAGCTTTGGGTTAACAACTATAAAACAGGAACAATACCCACATCTGGGTGGGTTCTCATGGAATTTAAACAACGTAACACTGGACTCAGTGCCAGGCACTTGATACTTCTAAAATGGCAGCTTCCTTAAATTCTTCTAGGTGTTATTTCTAGATTTTAATTGTAAGGCATCATGTATTTCTGGCACATTATTTACTCTAAACGTTTCCTTTCTATCTCACAGGTTGCTGTGGAGGAAAAAAATGGGTGAGTCCACGTGCAAAGCTTATTCTAGTGGCCAGCACATACGGCTATCTAATCAGGTTAAGAAAAAACCAGGTTCTGGAGTTTAACTTCTCAGGCTCGAATATACTCAAACCAGAATTATGTGTAGGAAGCCATATTATCCTCCTGTTCTCCATTACTTGATGGGGGAAAACCAAGAGCTGCCCCAGCGGACTTCTTTCATCCACAAATATCGTTTTCCTGCCGCTTACATGCACGTGCTGGGACTTGAGAAGAACCACTCAGAAAAACACACGAGGTGTGGACACCATTTTTATCATTTTTTTGTATTGTCCTAACATCAGCTTTACTTTTTCCTGGTATGAAGTGCAAAATTGATCACGCAAGAGTTGGGAATAAATGTAAAATGTTCAGTGTAAACTGAAAACCAGATCCTTAAAGAAATGGGTAGAGATTTCAAATTTGTTGACAGAAACCTTAAGAGAAAATTTTTTCATAAACCATGGTCACCTGAGAAGCCAAAATGGGAGCAGAGGACAGCATGCTAAGAGCAAATACACCTCCTTGGCTATTGTCACACACAAGCTCTCGTCTCTGAACTAGACCTGCATGTTAATGGCATGAAATTTGGGATGTAATGACATAGACTGTGGTGTCCTCCGGTTGTACTAAATATACGGGTCTTGTCTTGTAAACAACTACACGTCTCAACTACACCCCCAGGCCAGGGATGGCCATGCGGTTTGGGGTGTGGCAGGGTGAGGGGTCAGGTTCCTATCCATAGTACTAGGCACAGAGCAGGTGACTCAGGGAATAGTTTTTGATTGCTTGATTGCAGTTGTTAACTTTTGATGGGAGGTCTGACTTTTCTGAGTTACATTCTGTAAAAGGCCCCGACGCTGAAGTATGCATGACACCTCACAGTATTCTGGGCTTAAAACCTAGGCCTTGATTCTGAATTTGAAGGAAGTGCTGTGGAAATCTTCATTCCTTTTTTGGTTGTTCTGAAACACCAGCCACAAGAATCTTTGTACTTGGCCTCCAGCCCCATGAGTTTGCTTTTGCTCCAAGAAGCTCTTAGGAGACTGTGAGCCAGATAATTCTTTTCAAGGCTAAGTTGAGATCTTAAAAAGGATGTTTGAAGTTGGTTTCAGAAATCTGAAAAATGGCTAGATCCAGCTCATAGTTCAAGAAAATCAGTTCGTTTTTTGTGCTTAGGTTTCAACACCAATGGCGTTATGGTATGCTTGCTTTCAATCTGAACATCTGAGTGTTCTCTGTGCTTTTGCACGAGCACCCCAAAGCAAACCAGACACAAAGTTATTTTTAACTTGAGTTTTTCATGCCTTAATTCTTATGTGTGCATATGCCTGTGAAGGCAGGGTTTGGGGCAAGCAAGCTGTTTTGACCTTTTATGACTGGTTTTTGTGCTCTGTTAATATATGGAAACAAACTAGTTGAAGGCACTTTCAGGCTTGTCGTTTAAATGTTTGAAGCATCTTTTATCTTCTTGGTAAGACTATGGACTCCTCAAGGAAGGGGTCTTGTCTTCTTTCTCTAACTCTTAACTCTGCCCAGAGCTGTGCTTATAGCCAGGCAGCTAGAACACTGCGGGATGGAGTCTGTCTGCTGATTTTCATTCATGCCCATCAGCTGTGGGTATAAGGCTCAATCACCAGGCTTACTCACCCCTCCCCCTTTTTTTATAGCAATCAAGTGCTTTCTATCTGCCCTTGTAAGTTCAAGGGCAGGAATTGTGTTGTCGTCACCATTTTATCTTATGTACCCAGCTTGACATGGTGCCTGGCACATTTCAGGCACTCAATTATCTGTTGAATAAAGAAAACATGTATCAGTGTTTTTGACTAGGCATTCAGCAGTGTTTGGCTTTGAATAAGCTTTCAGGAATCTGTGTTTAATATGGTGCTAGCCAACCGTGTTATTAAGCCTAAACTGTCTAGGCTCGTTTGGGGAAAACTAACCATTTCTGACATCAACATCCTGCTCTACTCTTTGAAAATTGCTGTTGAGTCTACTGCCTTATTTGATCCTCAGACAACCCTAGGCAGCAGGATGGACAGACAGGGTTTGACTGTAATGGATGTGACAAGGGCGATAAAGTTTTAGTTATTTTCATTTTGCAGATGAAGAAACTCAGGCTCTGAGAAATAGCAAAGATGACCAAGACTTCAACCTAGCTCCTACCTCCAAGTTCTGTGCTCTTTCCACCCCAACATTTTTTGTTTTTCCTCTTTTTTTGGTCATTCCTTAGGCAGCATGCAGGTCAAGGTCAGAGTGGGAAAGGTCGAGAAGGAAGTGCTTTGAGGTAGTGATAGCAGTGAACGTTTATTGAGTTCTTTCAGCAAACCAGGAACTGTATTTACTTGTAATTCTCGAAGCAGCCAGGGAGAGAGGCACTATTAGTTTAATTGTACACGGGGGTGGGGGGGTGGATTCTAAGGCTTAGCTGAGGCTAGTTTATATCTGCCCAAAATTTCACAGCATGAGGGAGACTCAGCTAAGTCTGACTCTAGGGGCCAAGCTTTTAACCATGACACTAGGCTGAGATCCCTAGCCTGACCTTGTATATGAGACACCTGAGATCAGAGATTTGCCCCACATCCCCCAGTGAGTTCTGGGGACAGAACAAGGGCAAAAAGCCAGGTTCTCAGGGCTCTTTCCAAGGGACCTCACCAAACCTCTAGTTTTGCCTTTCAGGGAACTGCCAGGCTATGGGCAGGAAAGAGGAATACTCTTGTTAAGGTCATTATGGAGGGTTAACAGAAAAAGATCTAAACCTGTGCTTTTAAGAGCTATTCCCGCCCGCAAATAGTGGGTAAGAAAAAAGGTGAAGTTTGGGAACCACCTGCAATATGAAAGTCACCCACAGATGTACGACCACGTGAGAGGGCAGCGCGCGTAGCCCTCGCGGCCACCTAGCCCCGCCCCCTACCTGAAGGCGCCAGCCCCGCCTCCGTGGCTGCGCGCGCAGCGCTCGTGGTCTTCAAGCCCCGCCCCATAAATGAGAGCGCGGGTCCACGCGCGCCGCTCTTAGCGGCCGAGTCCCGCCTCCTACCTGAAAGGGCTCTGGCCGCGCCCCCGGGGGCCACGTGCTCACGGGGAAGTTCTCTAGGCCGCAGGCGACATCCAGCTCCTCCGTGGGCGCCTCGGGGCCGTCCTCAGAAGCAGCCATCCTGTAAAGCTACTTCGTCCGGTCGCGAAGCGCCCGCCGCCTCGCCGAGGCTGCGCTTCGCAGAGGTTGCTGGGAGTCGTGGTCCCGCGGCCCCACTGCCTCATGGGAGATGCAGTTTTTTTCCTTTCCCGTCCCCAGTGGCCTGTGAGGGCGTCTCCGCCCTGGACCCTCCTCAAGCTTCCCTTAACTTTCTGGTCTGGCTCGTCCCTTGTGTTGAGCCAAATGCGCAACATACAGAGCTAGACCTTGTGAGGTACGGACCAAGCTTTGGGAACACAACAGGAAGGGCTTGACTTTTCCCTGTGAGCCTCAGGGAGGCCTTCAGAGGCGAGGCCATCGGTCCAGGTCTCTGAGGGCTTAGAAGTGGGGGGCGAGGGGGAATGACCCGGGCTTCTGAAGACTGGGAACTTGCGAGGAGGCTGGGCGTCGCGCGACGGGGCTCCTCCGGCGGCGCCGTGGCCTGTGGCGCCCCCTCCCTGCAGGGGTCTGTTCCCGGTCGGGCCCCCCCCCACCCCGAGAAACCCAGCCCGCCCAAGGCTCGGTGTCCCCGAAATTGCCGAAGCCAGTGGAATATCGCCTGACTTAGCAAAGCGCTGCTCCTTGTGGAAGCCCGTCTCCTCGCAGCCCGTGCGCGCCGCGTCCCGCCCCGCGGCGACCTCAGTGTCCCTGCGGCGTGGTGGGTGTCACGCAGGTCTCTCCCCGACCGCTCCTCACCTCCGCGCTTCCTCCGTGACAGCGGCTCCCGTGGCTTCCGGTGCGGCTGCCCGGTGTTAGTGTCCGGCCTGCGGCCCCGACCCCGCGGCCGCCCACCCACGTCCGGACGTTGCTGCGTGCCGACCCACGGGCACGTCCAGCTCCCCGCGGCCCGAGCGGGCGTGTGCCGCAGCCCCCCCTCCCTTTCTCCTTTAGAACAAACTGGGGACAACCTGCCCACGCGCCCCGGAGCTACCGAAGCGTCTCCCCCGCGTCCCTGCCTCTCCTTCGGCCTCCGGCGCTAGAACTTCCCGCCCAAATCTTGTTGGTGCCACTTGCATCATGGTTTTCATTTCCGTCTCAGGCTCTTGGTTTTGTTTTTGTTGTTTTTTTTTTTGCTTGGACTCTTGAAGTCATTTTTGTTCAAGCCTAACAGTCTCTGTACCCCCAAATCACCCTCCCTGCTGCTGCGTCCATGATCTTGGGAGGATGCACCCCCAATTATTACGTCCCGCTGTTTAGAACCCCGTGTTTGCGCCGCGTTTATTGCCAAGTCCACTGTCCGCATCTGGGCGATGAGGCCCTTGGAGACCCAGCCCCGGCCTGGCTCTGTGTTTAGCCCCCGGTAGCCGTCACAGCTTCTCAACACGCCGTCACTGGGGCCCCTGTGCCTTTGTTGGCGTTGTTCTTGTGCCTGCAGGGCCTGTTCCCCATGTCTGTCCACGTGGCCCCGTCTCTACCTCTTTCCTGCAGCTTTGGTTACCTTGTTCTCTGTGCTCCATTTTACTCTTTATCAGCCGTTTCTCACAGTCTCTGCAACTCTTTAATATACTCAGACAAAATCCTACTGACGCCATACAAATGATGCATGGGGGGAGACAGGGAGGTACAGAGAAAGAGACAGGGAGAGGGAGCGAGACAGAAACATTTTGTTTTAAATAATTTGGGTACATTTACTTGCAAGTCTTTTGATATAGGACCAAGGTGGGGTTTTTTTTGTTCGTTTGTTTTTGGTGGTGGTGTTGTATGTGGGTCTACTGATTAGCGTTCCATGTCAGGCTAACTCTGAGTTCCGGTTTGGATGGAGGTCTTTAAAATGGGCAGGAACTAGACGATAGCCAGGCCACCCGAGTTCATGATCTGGTTGCCCACCCCCTGTGTTTTATATTTCTTACACCTACTTCCATGACAAAACCGTTCTTAGTGACTTGCCTCTTTTTCAAGTCTTTCCAGAGTGTTTCCTTTACTTTTCCTAGAGGGCTAAACTCTTTATGCACATAGTTCATCATTGTTTTCTCGGGTAATTATAGAAAGGTATACGTGTCATGAATAGTGTCTCAATGCCAGCTGCTGTAACAGAATGCCATCGTCTGGGCGGCTTAAACGTAGGCTGCAAGGCAGTCACGGAGTAAATGTTTGATCAGACCTGGCTGCACACTTGCTCACTCTTAGGAGTTAGTCACTTATGTAACCCAATTGGCTGTAGTATAATTGAGGGATGTGAGGAAGGCTTAGGGAGAGGACCGTGGAACTTCCACAGAGGGCATGCTTCCTTCTAGCTGGGGAGCTCAGGGAAGGCTTCACGGAGAGGGGGCTGTTTGCCATAGGCCCTGAAGCATGGATAAGATTTAGGAAGATGAGGAAAGGGCACTCCACGGGAACAGCCGGAGTAAAGGAATAAAGAGAAAGGTGCGTATGGGAAAGAGTAGTTTCACATTGGCTGGAGACCAGGTTTATTTCATTTTTCAAAAATTGGAAACAGTGAAGGAATTTTGCAGATATCCAAAGAACATACTGTTCTTTCATTTTAAGACAAGTGTTTGAACGTTGATATATGCACGGTGCTGTTTACCAGTTTGGGGAAGGTACCCATAAAGAGAACAGGTGCCTGAAGAGAGCTTCCAGCCAGCACGCAAATAACCATATACACCCAGAACTTAGTAAGAACTGTAAGAGTGTGTGAAGAAAGACTTCTAGGAGCAGTGAGAAGAACCACACTCCCGGGTTTGTAGATTATTATGCTGTTTTTATTTTTTGTCTCTTTCTTGGTAGTACTGTCTGCCCTTTGGGAAAACGTTTTGAACAATCCAGTCTTTTATTTTTTTTCTTCAAGCTGTTAGTGATGGTGCTTCCATAATAAGGTATTCAGTTTATGTCAGCCCATCAGTTTAATTTGTTTTTATCTTGCTGGCAAGGATCCAAAAGTATTTATATAATTTGAGATTAAAATAATGAGAGGATGTTTGCAGGCTGATGTAGCCAGTCTTCCGAATTTCAAGCAGTCAGTGTTTCATCTTTTCCAGGCCTCAGAGCCTATCTTATTTTCTCTAGACAGTGTTCTTCACTGACCAGGAGCGTGGATCCTCGAAATTGTTCTGAAAACCACTATAGCTACGTGGTGAAAAACATGTATTCCTGGACACTAATGAGCTGCCCAAATTGACTGCTATAAATAAGCATTGTGCCTGAATATTACATCTATTATTCAAATTTCTTTTGGCTTTTTCACTGGCAGAAGAGAACCTAATCTGATCAGTAATGAAGAAAAAAAGAAAAAGAATACAATATAGTAAAACTTCAACATTTTATAGTTTTAATTATCTTTGGCTAAATTATGGAGTATGATTATATGACCTTGTTCCCCCTTGCCTTTTTTTTCAACAAAAATGGTCTTAAATTGAGATGTTTTTCTTCTGCTATTTTTTTTTGCCAGTATTTTTTAATGAATTTGACATGATTTTGTATTCAGAAGCCATTCTTTCATCAAAGTCTCGCTAACATTGTCTGAGCTTAATCTTGAATAGGCTTTATAACCAGCAATGAACTGTCAAGTCAGTAGAAGTTATATATTTGTTAGTGTTAATGACAGCGTGGGATAAGCATTGGTTTTTTTCATCAAATAAGATTGTGTGATGAAATCATTTTGACGAGGACAATGTATAGTAGTTGATACATTTGGGGGTTTCTGCCCAATTCATTGACTCTGTCCCTTCTGAGAACATGCCAGCCCCCACACAGCCCATCATGTGGGGGTGCTCACTGGCAGCCATATTTATGTTTCACAACCCCTAAGCTGTGGCCCACGCTTTTGATTTTGGATGCGCACCTGATTCAAGCTAGGCCAGTCAGATTCTCTTGATGAGTGGCTGAGACCAAAGAACAGTTAAACTGTGTGTATAGCTTGGGAGCTGACAGGTAGCTCTGTTTGGTGCATTGATGGAGAAGTAGAGAAAAGTCAGTCCTCCAGGACAAAAATGACCCAGACAGCGACAAGGAGAGAGGGCTTCCTAGTTCCTGGCACCTGTCCATTTCCGGCTCCAGTCCTGTTTTGATTCGCATGACGTATTTGTATTCTTATAACAAATTCTTCCTTTGGGTTTAGATTAAGTCAGTATGGTTCCTGTTCGTTAGTCAAAGAATTTTGACTAGTGAAAATGATGGAATTATTATTACCATTATTATTAGAAAGTGTGGGCTGGATAACCAGGTACTGTACAGTGTTGATATCTATGAATTTTTGTTCATTTTATTAGTTGGTAAGTTACATATATTTTTTAAAGTTGGTAAATTTTTTGAACATTTTGCCTTTTTGATGTGTCTTCACAAAAGAATGCCTACCCAAAATAATATGAATAGAAATTTATATTAAAAAGTAGTAAAAAATATGAAAAATTTCTGTCTAGTGGAAGGGATAATAATATAGTAGCAATGGCTAATAGTTATATTTCACATATGTGCTCAGTACTATAAAAAGCAAAATAAAAAGTAAATTGGAAAAAAAAAGGCTTTTTAGTAGCTGAAATTTTATGTCAAAGTGTGCATGGCATGTGGATCATTTTGCAATAAGAAAAATTATGGCAGTTGATTAAAATAACTTGAAGTAGTGTTTTACAGAATTACTGTCCTGTGTTCTTTATACTTTCCAAAAGATAGTAATTTATATTTTTGTGCTTAGACTGCTAGTAAATGTATGTTTTCAGCAGAATAAATATTTGCATCTTGTCCTATGTTTTTATCATTGTGTTGTGGTTTAATGAAATCCATAATTTTTCTTATTGATAGGACAACAAAAACATCAAGATATAATCTCAATCAGAACAGTTAGTGTAAGTGCCTTAGTTGTACATATCCAGGATTGATGATTATAGGATAGTAACTCATAATGGCATGCAATCACATGGGGATTGTGGATTATAGGTGAAGAGGTGAAAGAAGCAAATTATGTACTTATTTAACCTGAAATGTCACCAGCAAGAAATTAATTTCACTCATCAAAGACATATGATCAAATTTATTGCCAGGTGTATTCAAATACTATTACCAAGGCTACGAGAACAGACTTGCTCTGTTTGCAAGTTGACCTTGAAAGGCACAGCTTTTCACACGTTTTCATTTTGACTTGGGAAAGCAGCTTTGCATATTACCCAGAAGGAAACCACCTATAAGCAGCACATCATGACTTTTAAAAAGTCCTAGATATTCCTTCTCCTCATTTATAAGAAGACACATGGGCCAACCTCTTCTACTGAAGTTTTGAAAGCAAAGATGTATATCCTTTGAAGTTTAGTACCACAAATGTCTTGTTTCAGAGGACTCTACCCAGAACATTTAAGCCCAGATCTGCAAGGCTCCACATGGTAATTTCACCAGATACCCCCAAGAATCATCTGTGACCAGAATTATTCTTAGGGATCATGTTAAATTTCAGCTTCTTTTAATTCTACTTCCCACAACTCTCCAGACCCCTATCAGCATTTTCACTCTGGTAGGTGGTTCTGGTATTTGGAAGGAGAAAGGAAATGGAACCAATGCAACCAAAAAACGAACGTGAAGAATTCTTCTCAAGTGCTCAAGACTAACGGGGCTAAAGTATCAGGAAAAAAAGTTGATGACATATATATTTAGTTTTAGATATTACAACCAGGAACAATTTGGTATGAAATGCAGAGGAAAAAGCCCCTTTCTTTTTCATGATCTCAATAAGCGTTAGTGTGTTAAAGTCAGCATCATTTCTGTGGGCAGGTGGGTGTGTAGCATGAGCTGAGGAGTATGAGCTGTGGAGACTGTTTTTCTCCCCGAACTCATGATCCCAAAAGACCTTCCCAGTGCCTGACTGCAGTGCCTGACTCCCAGCTGAAATGTTCGCCCATTTGTGTCAGCGTTGCTTTCTCCAAAGCACACTGTTCTTTTAGGACTCCAATATTTCTGGGAGTGAAAAAAGTAAAAAAAGATAAAACACATGTTTTATCATATTCCTTTTCCTTCCCCAAAAGGAGATGCCTTGAGCACAAAACTTAGAGGAATTGGTGAAGAGGAGGAAAAAAATGCCAGACAGACCAAACTTACACTTACTGAGCACCTACGACATACTCTGGTGATGTCCAAACATGTCGGATGATGGTGAAAATGTTCTGTATTCTGTTTGATACACTAGCCAGCAGCGCATGTGACTGCTGATTACTTGGAATATGGGTAGTGTGACTGAAGAACTGAATTTTTAACGTTAATTCACTTGAATTTGATTTAAGTAGCCATATATAGTTAGTGGCTACTGTATTGGACAGCACATTTGTAGACAGAACACTAAACACTGCATACATTTCTTATTGAACCTTCACAGTAGCTCCTCCAAGTAGGTGGTATCATCTCTAGTGCACAAGATCCGGAACTGAATTGACATTCAGATAAATTTTTCATGGATTCCCACGTGTGTGACTGGGATTGGGGACCAGGTCTGAAATGCCACCTCGGAAGACTGCAACGTGTTGCCATAGTCAGAGGCTGGCTGTCTTCTAGCGGCTGTGGGGGAAGTAAAGGATTAGAAATCATGAAATTAAAATGTAATATTGGGTTGTCGGAAAAGTCATGACGCATTTTTGCAATGAAAAACATAGAAAAAAATACTTCATGACTTTTCCGACAACCCAGTATTTCATCTTATTTGAAAGTATAGTAATTTATGTAGTGAAGAGCATTATGTAATTTGAGGGGGTTTTTTTGTTTGTTTTGTTTTGTTTTTTAAGGGCTGTGCCTTTGGACTTTGGAAAAAAACAATCAGGTTAATTAGTCTGCTTGAAAATGAATCTTGATCTCACTGCTGGGTGTCCTACTCCTGAGCCTGACTACTGAGGACAGTCTGTTAGGCCACTGAGGTTTCAGCCTTGTGACAATTAACTGTCATTACTAATCTATCTATCTATCTATCTATCTATCTATCTATCTATCTATCTATCTATCTGCCTATCATCTATCTATTATATTGCAGGTATACTATGTATACCTGAGAGAGGGGGCTGAATAACAGAAATCTATTGCATATATTATTCTATCTCTCTCGGTAGTAATAAAAATTCAGAGAAAATCACCAATTTATGAATGGCCATAGAAGTAATTTCTAGTTGTACTCTTAATCTTGTAGGCATTTTTAATAAGTAAATGGAAGTAACAAATTGCTCTGTTCCTGTGGCACTCGGGAGAGGCACAAAGAAGTGGCTTTTGGAACTCTAGAAACTTTCAGCTTCAAAATGAAAGGCCAGGAGGTCACTTTTGTGGGAGACTGAACTTCCTTTGCAATGAGGGTTTTTTCAGGGTCCTCCTCATCCGAACTCTTCCACTCTCAGTTAGATATTTTATTTTCACTACGTGACCAATGAATGACTGGTCATCTTTTGCAGCCCCAAATCCCTTCTCTAATCCTGATTATAACTTTAATCCCCGCACTTGGAAAGTCTCCCCTTTCATTTGGCTGTTCCCTTATAATTTCTAATTGCTGGTGGTTTTTTGTAGTCAAATATTTTCAAACCTATTTGCTTTAGTGCAGTTTCAGCTCTGGAACATTAAATTTCATGTTCTGGAGTTTTGTGAGCTCAGCTCAGAAGAACATTGACTGTAATTTGCTTTTTTACAGGGCCTAGACACGACCTGGTTGATGACACAGGAAACCACTTCTCACTGAGGATGAAACGTGAGTTTTCTCATCACCTCTTAGCAAATTAATTAAAGTTTTCCCCTACAGTGTTTTTTTTTGTTTGTCCTTGGTAAATTAAACAGGAAGTTCAGACCATGCTCTCCAGACCCTAGATGTTGTAGCTGTTTGTTGCTGGGACATTTGTCTTAATGAAGCCTGGCAGTACTTTTTCAGGTGAGACAGCCAATTTTACCTGTGCTCTGGCACCGAGTCCAGCCATCTGCTCTAGGTCTGGCTTTCAAACACAAAGGGAAAATACAAGCTATAGCCAACGTGGTGGTGACAGCTGGTGGGGAAAGGAGTCATCGTGTTTGACAGTGTCCTTTGGAATGAGACCGGAGGTGACTGAAATACAGCAGATCACCCCACCTGATAGATAGATGCCTGCAGGCTATTGGAATTTTAACTTCTGACTCACTCACCTTGTTTCCACTTCTTGAAGAAGCCCCATCCTGTCACATGCTGTGTCATCCACATGTTCTTAGATAAGGGGACTATGTCAACCAACATTCAAGTAGGTGTTCCACTAAGCTGAGTGCCCCATGGCCATGCTGTTTGTTTCAGCCTACATGTGTTTTTAAATCAGAAATGATCCTGGGCAGAATTTCTGTATTCTAGGGCACATAGTCATCTTAGAGATATTACTAAGCCAATACTTCATTGTTTTCCTCCATTAAAAAAGTCCATACTAATTAGTATAGCTAAGTAAGGAAAAACTTATTGTACACGAATACATTTTACATTGGCAGAACTGGAATTTTATTCCAAACCATTTGGAATAAACCCCATTCTAAGCCTGTTTTTGCAACTACGTAGTTTCAGTTTTTGTTTTTATCAGCAAGCAGATGGAGCTATGGCCAACCCTTACTTAGCCTGTCAGTTCCTGGAAACAGCCTTCTAGCTAAAGAGACACCGTATAAGGATTGGGGTGAGGTAGGTGAAGAGACACGAGAGTGACAGCAGCTTTACAGGACAAGGACATTTTTTGCTTCCCTTTTTGGAAAGTGTCTGGCCTTCATGGTAATTCAGTTTTCAGCTTTGTGCTTGGAAACTCAATTTTGCCTTTCCCCAAAGGTCAGTATAAAGGACCCATGTCCTGCCAAGGCCCAGTGAAACCGGAGCGAGGGGTCAGTGAGCGAGGGGTCAGTGAGCGAGGCGGTGCAAAGCTGCTGCTTTCTCTTCCCTGGGAGAACAGAAAATGCTTATTCACTAAACATGACACCAAGTTATCTATTATTCACCACAAACCTTTTCTGGAACAAAGTGAGGCATACATTATTTATTTTGCATTATGAAGTAAAGTAAAAGGAGGAAGAGAGAGGAAGGCGCTTGAGAGAAAATTGGAGTGGGAGAGAAACGCAGAGCGAGAGGTTGATTTAGAGCAGGAAGAGGCCAAGAAGTAAAGGGCTTGTTCCTGGGAAGCGTTTGTCCTGTTGGAAAACTGGGACCACCGTCAGGATTAGCAGATCTTACAAATTCCCGCTGAAATTCTTGACTTTATCTGTCACTTAACAGTTATGTATTTATTGAGGATTTACTACTTGTGAGGCACTGTGATGGTGTGGGGAATAATTATAACATTTTGGTGAGGACGTACTATATGCCGGACACTAGACCAAGCCTTTTATGTGGGTTATGTTCAGTCCTGAAGCCACCCTCTGAGGTGGGACTGTTGCCACTTGTCCTCACTACATATTACATGTAGAGAAAATGAGATGTGGAGAAGTTAAAGCTGATATAATTTTTTTTAAAGCATCTTGATTTGTGTGTTTTCTGATTTCTGTTATATAAAATCCTTACGGTAGCTGATTTTAATCTGCGGACAGTGTAACAACTGGTTCGTGAAATTTCTGAGCGTTAGACTTGGGTATGAGCTGGCTTCCAAACACCACCCAACGCGACTGTCTCCATGGCCTCAAAATACCCACAGTCCTGGAGGGTAGATAAGACTGTGATGCCAACGGGAGAGTGAGGGGAACCGGACAGCTTGGACGTCTTGGGCAGGCATCCATTTTCACTTAGCCGTTTTCTTGGAAGTTTCACGTATAGTTAGAGAAGGCTCTGTGATGGGGACATTTAAACTGTGTTTTGAGGAATGGGTGAGACTCGAAGGTGTGGAATTAGGGGCAGAATAGCTGCAGAGGATGGAAAAGCATGAGCGGCTGCCGTTCAATGTTCTCATTCCTAAAACCCGCTTTGGGCTCTGCAGCTGCAGTACCTGAATGGCCCACAAGGTGGTGGAATAGCGCTATCCTTTGCTCCACTTAAATGCAAACAGTAAAACACCCATTTACATAAGCTGCGTAAGGTTTTCCTCTTTTGGAACAAGGAGCGTGAAAATGCTTGTAGGAATTGTGGTGAGGAATTCCAGAGAAATGCTTTCTTTTGCCATGATCTGTTTAGATTCACATTTATATACAATCTAAGAGATATTCATGTTCAAGGTATAACTTGAGTAGGCGTGGCATTCTGAAATGACTGAGTGAATACATTTGACAAAGATATGAAATAGCACTGAGAGATGCTAAACTTGGGAATGTGTTTTGTTTGTCCGAGTGTTAAGAATTGGGAATGTCTAAGTTTACCTGTGATTAAAAAGCCCAAACCAATGTAATTTAAACTCGTTTACCAGATTTGAATGGTGACAGCGTGCTGGTCATCATGCGTGTGTGATCTGCCCATCATGCCTTATATCTGGTCTGGGGCTTGTCATGTCTGGACCTGCCAATAGCTACAAAAATGCTTGACCAATTACAGTACAACTTTTCAAACATGTTGTTTTGATGGATAACACAACATATTTGATGCTAGAGTCATTTATCATAAGGAATATTAGCTTTCAGCATTGTTTCATTTAGTTATTCACATGCTTATTTTAAAGGATCGTTTAGTTCATAGTGTCCTCCAGCTAGAAGCTTTACAACCAGACATTTTACCCCCAAAATAGATGATAGCACCAAAGAAAATGGGTTTAAATTAAGAGAGGTGGAGATTTAGTCAACAATAGCAGAAGCTCTGGAATGGGGGGGGAGGTCCAGGGGGCGGTGAGTGTGGGGGGCGGTGCTTCCCAGGAAATCTTCAAACACAGAATTGGTGTCACTCAGACATATCCTTGCTTGAAGGTAAGAGCGGAAGTCCTGTCTCTTAGGTTCCTTCCAGTCTTCCTTCAAGTGTCTAAGTGTCAGGGCAGTGATGTGAGAACGTGCCGCCACACACCATCTGTGAGTGGAGCTGCCACCCCAGGGGCCCAGGATGGCCCTTGCTCTCACAGAGCCTTCCCTCGCCTGATGGCAATACCAGTCGCATAGGACAGGCCTGAAGATTTCATTAGGGATGTATTTTGGGAACTGGAAACTGCTCCTTAAGTACTAAGCAGGGGAGGAGGTCTGTTAATTTATGTCCCTGTCCCCAGATGAGGTGTCCTGGCCTCCAGCTGCTCCCTCCCCTGCAGTCTGAGTGTCACAGGCCTCCTTTCTGTCAGTACCCCCTTCCTCCGCACCATCCCGACGCCCCAGGTGTTTTTGATCTAGTTCAGTTCCGGTTTGACGAGGGTTAGGTTAAAAGACCCCTCACTCTGAGTGTGATGGCAGGCCACCAGGAGAAACCTTTTCTAGGCGCGGTGGCAGAGAGAGCTGGATAATGATGAGTAACGACAGAGTTAGCGAGAACGGTAACGCTGGGCCTGAGGCCCTTCTTGAATCTCATAGCTGATCCATAAATAAGAAGGAAGTCAAGTGAAGGGAAGTTTGCAGAGCTCCAAAACCACCTTCCTTGGTAGGAGGAAATAAGTTTCATTTAGAAATAGAGGGCTGCGTAACTTCTGGTGTTTTGAGTGACATGATTCTATTGCAATACCAAGCGAGCGTCGCGGGATGAACCAGGTGCTAAGCCCACAGGGATAGTTGTTTTGGGATGGAGGCCAACCATAGTAATTCTTTCAGAATCCTTCCACATCCACCCAAAGGCTTTAGAATATTTATTATTATTATTTTTTTACAGTGGAAAGACACACAAAACAATAACTTATGCTTCTAAATTCTTTGCCTAAAGCTGATATTTTTGTGTTATGCCAAAAGGGAAATTCTGTCCACACATAGTTTTCCTGCTTGTCAGTGCCGTGTGCATCCTGCTCAGATATAGTCACTGAGATTAGGAAACTGGCATTTATGCATTGACAATGAAGCAATTAAGAACTTGGCTTGTCACTGTGTATGCCTCACCTTCCCTTGGTGTGTTCCGGGGAGATAGTTCTAGGTCACAGACCAGGATTGAAGATAGCAGGTGCCTGAAATCTCAGGGGTCATTATTGTGCTTTTACCTGGAATCATCTTTAAATTTTTCATGCTACCGGGGAGCTAGGGAAGGGGAGCTCAGAAGATGAGGAGAAAAGGGCTGCAGTCAGGACAGCAGCTGGCGTCATCCAAATCCATGAGGGGTCAGAAAGGCTTCAGAGTCATGTCTTCTCCTCTGCTGGGAAGTTTGCCAATTTATTTAAGCTTTGCTTAGTTAATACCAATGGAATTTTCTAGGTACAAACAACTGCTAATGCAGAACTAACCAAGGTGACAAGGAAAAGCATTCTGTGCTGTAAACCTGTTGTTCCCCAAATGTACTGAGGAGCCTTGGGGTGCTGAAGGGCAGTTGGGGGCTACTGCGGCATATTTTAAATATTCAGGGGACACAGTGACACTGAACATCTGTGCCAGTTACTAGCTCTGGGGTAGCCCACAGTGTCCATATTAGATCGTGCCATGTTCCTTTTAATTAGGTCATAGCTTTGTGACACTGGGTTTTGGTGATTGCTGTGATACAAAGCAAGTACCAGGGGCAAGCGCTGTGTACCAGGAGATGAGAGTAACTGTTTGAGCTGACTCCAAAATTTGCGAAGTTGTGCGGTGACAAATCGGCCCGCACGTCCCATTAGTAAGTAAATGTGGACAAGAATAAAATACAGTTTTTTCAATTTATGTGAGTTAACCTTCCAAACAGCTATTAAA